TCTTTATACTAAAAATATCCTTTTCAAAATTGTTTATCTTGCCATATATCACAATCGTATCTATCTATGTCAAAATTAATCCAACGACTAGATTTTGGTAATATTGTTCTTTTCCAAATTTGGTAATGTTGTTCTTTTCCAAATTGAAGTTAGATTTTGGTAATATTGTTCTTTTCCAATTTTGGTAATGTTGTTCTTTTTCAAATTAAAGTTTACGTAACCTTGTTGGCTAAAGCCTAATTTTTTTGAGATGGTATTGTTCTTCCCCAACTTTTATTTTTGGTAGTGCCTGAGATTTTGGTAGTATTGTACTGTTGTTCTTCCATCAAATACTATCTCTTTTTCTTCCTTGTTTTTACTCGAAGTTGAAGCTCAATATTTATTTTTTTTCTCTCTTTGTACTCTAACTACCAGCAATAGGTGAAATTTTTTGTGTAATATCTGAAATTCGATCCATGGGCCTCAAAGATAAATATGCCAAATGCCCAATAGAATATCGATTATTAATTTGATGAACAGACACTCGTACAACCTGATATTAGCCGAAAGCCCGAGGAATGGCGTTCAATGTTTGGTTGTTCACTTGTTGTCTCCAACCCACCTGGTCTCTTTTTATATATCTCGTACATCCTGTTGGCTTGTTTTAGCTGCTCAATATGGGACTAAACTGTCTTCCAATTAACCCTACCTACACTGCATGCCCAAGTCCCAACCATAGTTGAAGCCAAATTTGTGCAAAATCTTGGGAAAAAAATATTAATGCCAATCTTTCAACATTAAAAAGCAATCAAGAATCGAAGCATGTCTGATCTGAGTGTTTCATGTATTAAATAATCTCATATCCAATTTTTGAAAAAAATAAATAAAACCGATTAATTCAATTCACAGGATATCCATATAAAATTCCTCAGCATCTTGAACTATGTAGTATGTACCCTAGTTTGGTTCACCATACTTGCAAGCTTGTGAACTACTTTAACTTTTCCAATGCGAATGTGCAGAGTTTGGATTGAAGGCTTGAATCAAAGTAAAATTTTATTTCCAAACTTGAGTGGCACTGTGGGTCTGTGGCACATTATTTTTTTTCTTTCCCTTTTGATATGGAGTGGCACATTCAATAAATAGTACAGAAAAATGAGTCTATTTAGTTTGAATATAATGGACCCAGACGGCAGACACCCAGTAGTAGTGAGTAGTGAGTAGTGACATCAAACTGTACCAAAGTGAGCTGAGCTATCAATATATTTTGTTGCCATTTCCCATTGATAATACATCTTCTGATCTCATTGCTCTGCCATCTTGGCTAATTTTAGTACACATGACGGCATATGTAACGGAGTGATGGAAGCTTTGCGAGCCCACAAAATCGCATCTAAATCTATACAGTACTTTGAGCTTTCACTTATAAATCCTCCAAATACCACAATATAACTTGGCTACTGGCTAGTATACACCTAAACATATATCTTTCAAGGTTATTCAAGTTGTGAATTGAAGATGATGAAAACTTCTCTTTTCTTTCTCATATGCAGCATACTACTCTTGTTCTCAGGTATTTCTTCTTCCTCTTCATAATCTTCTCATTCTCTTTAAGTTTAGTATAACAAATAAATCATTTTGTTTTGGCTATATATTGTGCAGTTGATGAGATTCAAGTGGAGGCTAAAGTTTGTCAAATTGCTTCTGTTGGATGCAAAGACAATAATTATTGCAACCAATTTTGCTTGATAAAATACAGAGGTCATGGAAGTTGCTATAGGCCCCCTGGCATTTACTTGATTGAGTGTATGTGCTGGTACCCTTGTTGATCTCAACTTCTGATCAAATCTCATTTCAGTTACGTTGGTGGGCATTCATCCATGTAGCTGAAACTTGAAACCAGTAATCAAACATTAGCAACTTGGGTCTACTGCATTTCATTGTATGGGATATTGATCACCTTTCGTGAAGGGTCATCTTAAGTGTAGTCATAGTCACTCTACTTTAAAGTTCATTTCTAAGCATCTCTTTTTACTTTATTTTGAAACACAATTGAAAGATTGGCCAGATTTAATATTAGTATTACATTGCACAGTTTTTTGGCTAAGGCAATGGTGATCAATAGATCGCGCTAATGATACTAATAACTTTAGTCACAATATTTTATTTTGAAGCCAAGAGAGATAAATTGGCTTCGAAAATGGAGAATCGAAATGTGCTCAACGAAATCCGTTTGTGGTTGTAAAAGCAAAACTAAAGATAAAGTAGTGTGCGCGCAGCAGCGAAGCGAAGCGATTGTACCAAAGACATCTCTGCACCGTTATGTTTCTCTTACAGTTTTGAAATTTTGGTCCAACTTTTAGCCCTACTAGACTACTTTACATTTGCACTGCTGATAAAGTATTGGTTTCTGAAAGTGTCCAACTTTACATTTCCACAGTCCACACTCATAGTCTCATAGATCAATTGCAAGTAGTTTTCTGTGGCAGACCAAGTTGATTTTATTTTAACATTAGAGAAAGACCACAACATACAGAGCAAACACCTCTTGGTGATCACATAGGTATGGTAATAGTATCTGTAGACAAAAAGCTATAACAAACATTGTCGATAGTCTTACCTTTGAAAACTATGTTCTTCCTTAGTATACCCTCCTTGAGGAACCCAGCCTTCTCTAAGACCCTTTGTGAGGCCTTGTTTTCCATATCAACTAAAGCTTGCAACCTCTCCATATGTGGGAAGTCGCAAAAAACAGAAGCAAGAGCCATTTTGACAGCCACTGTACAAATCCCCTGGCCCCAGTATTCGGCTGCCAAGGCATACCCAATGTCTCCCCTACATATGTATTCACCTGATCCAGGAAAGATGGAAACAAATCCAATTGAACGATCATCCAAACATATGGACCGACGTCGACATCTGAAAGTTTGAATGGCCGTAGAGTGACTCTGGACAAACTTATTACCATTCTCTGGGATGAATACAACTTTGGTGGTGTTTTAATAATTTAAACTAATGTTAAGTTGATTAGTCTAATTTATATTTATATAGAAGAATGGATTACAAACTAATCTTGTTTAATGGTACTTATATAATGGATTAATTTGACAATTGTGCAGAGACATCATCTTGTCAGGGATGACATCAAGCCTTTGTTAAAGTCTCATTAAAACTAATTAAAATGTTTTAACTATATTTGGCAGGGGCCGCGCGAACGCGTTCCCCCTCTGCAACAAATTATGATGTAGACTCCACCACTTGGGTAGATCTTAGGCGAGCACCGCTCCAAAGTGCAATGGAGGTCACTAACCTAGGCCATGAACATTTTTGATCGCCCATAGACCCCATCCAGGTAAGTATGGAATAAAGTTGCCACCTGACCATATTATATACTCGATTTTAACATTTACACACCTCTCTGTCTTTGATGTGGGACTAAATAATTACTTCAAAGTTTACTTACGATGCAGCTGCAGGACACACACCAGGACTCCATGTAATTGCACTAGTGAGCCTGAAGTGGTTGTAGGTTCGTAAGTGAATAGTCTATTCTGAATGTGGACAGGAACTTTTGTGCTTCAAAAATATAGGTTGCAGGCCTGAGAATGCACCTATCTTGGAGTCTCACAACAACAACAAGCACAGGTTACTATCCTTAGCAACCTGTGTCAAAGATGCTCGATACAGCTAAATTTTGATATTCAAGGTTTTGACTTTGAATTGGTGGGATGCTCCAGGCCGATAACCTC